TACCCAGAAGGGAGCAACGGTGTGACTATTAAATATGTGTGTGTTTTATTGTTTGTTGTTTTCATCAAATAAATGTGCCTTTGTAATTAAATTACGTTTTACTGGAAATACACAAGGGGCATACAAATATTGTTTTTCACTGGAAATACATACGTGGCATACGAATATTGATTTTCACAGGAAATACATACGGGACATACAGATATTGATTTTTCAATTGAAATATATACGGTGCACGCAAATATTGATTTTCACTGGAAATACATACGGAGCATACAAATATAGATTTTTCAATGGAAGTACATACGGGGCATACAAAAATTGTTTTTCACTGGAAATACATACGTGGCATACAAATATAGATTTTTCAATTGAAATATATACGGTGCACGCAAATATTGATTTTCACTGGAAATACATATGGGGCATACAGATATTGATTTTCAATGGAAATACATACCTGGCATACAAATATTGTTTTTCACTGGAAATACATACGGAGCATACAAATATAGATTTTTCAATGGAAGTACATACGGGGCATACAAAAATTGTTTTTCACTTGAAATACATACGTGGCATACACATATTGTTTTTCACTGGAAATACATACGTGGCATACAAATATAGATTTTTCAATGGAAATACATACGTGGCATACAAATATTGTTTTTCACTGGAAATACATACGTGGCATACAAATATTGATTTTTCAATGGAAATATATAGGTGGCATAAAAATATTGTTTTTCACTTGAAATACATACGGGCCATATAAATATTGATTATCACAGGAAATACATACGTGGCATACAAATATTGTTTTTTACTGGAAATACATACGTGGCATACAAATATTGATTTTCACTGCAAATACATACGGGCCATACAAATATTGTTTTTCACTTGAAATACATACGGGGCATACAAATATTGTTTTTCACTGGAAATACATACGGGTCATACAAATATTGATTTTCACTGGAAATACGTACGTGGCATACAAATATTTTTTTTCACTGAAAATACATACGTGGCATACAAACATTGTTTTTCACTGGAAATACATACGTGGCTTACAAATATTGATTTTCAATGGAAATACATACGGGGCCTACAAACATTGATTTTCACTAGAAATACATACGGGGCATACAAATATTGATTTTCACTGGAAATACATACGGGGCATACCAATATTGTTTTTCGCTGGAAATACATACGTGGCTTACAAATATTGATTTTCACTGAAAATACATACGTGGCATACAAATATTGATTTTAACTGGAAATACATACGGGGTATACAAACATTGATTTTCCCTGGAAATACATACGTGGCATACAAATATTTTTTTTCACTGAAAATATATATGCGGGGCATACAAATATTGTTTTTCACTGGAAATACATACGTGGCATACAAATATTGATTTTCACTGGAAATACATACGTGGCATACAAATATTCTTTTTCACTGGAAATATATACGGCGCATAAAAACATTGATTTTCACTGGAAATACATACGGGGCATACAAATATTTTTTTCTTTAGAAATACATACGTGGCATACAAATATTCTTTTTCACTGGAAATACATACGGGGCATACAAACATTGATTTTCACTGGAAATACATACGGGGCATACACATATTGTTTTTCACTGGAAATACATACGTGGCATACAAATATTGTTTTTCACTTGAAATACATACGTGGCATACAAATATTGTTTTTCACTGGAAATACATACGGTACATACAAACATTGACTTTCACTGGAAATACATACGGGTCATACAAATATTGTTTTTCACTGGAAATACATACGTGGGATACAAACATTGTTTTTCACTGGAAATACATACGTGGCATACAAATATTGTTTTTCACTGGAAATACATACGTGGCATACAAATATTGATTTTCACAGCAAATATATACGGGCCATACAAATATTGTCTTTCACTGGAAATACATACGGGCATACAAATATTGTTTTTCACTGGAAATACATACGGGGCATACAAATATCGATTTTCACTGGAAATACGTACGTGGCATACAAATATTTTTTTTCACTGAAAATACATATGGGGCATACAAATATTGTTTTTCACTGGAAATACATACGTGGCATACAAATATTCTTCTTCACTGGAAATACATACGGCGCATATAAACATTGATTTTCAATGGAAATACATACGGGGCATACAAATATTTTTTTCTCTGGAAATACATACGTGGCATACAAACATTGATTTTCACTGGAAATACATACGGGGCATACAAATATTGCTTTTCAATGGAAATACTTACGGGGCTTACAAATATTGATTTTCAATGGAAATACATACGGGGCCTACAAACATTGATTTTCACTAGAAATACATACGGGGCATACAAATATTGATTTTCACTGGAAATACATACGGGGCATACAAATATTGTTTTTCGCTGGAAATACATACGTGGCTTACAAATATTGATTTTCA